AGTGTAGATGAGGTTGGATTGCAGAACTATCATGTTGATTTGATTGCAAATGAACGGTCGATTGAAAAACGGGCGAAATGATAGGAAGAGGGGCCGAGCCAACGCTGCATCTGTCTAAAGATTTTTTGGCGAAAAATATTACGCAAATATTATCGCATTTCAAAGTATCGTATTTGAAAAAAAAACTAGCAATAGATACAAAAGCGCAAGCAAATGAATATACCGAATTTAAATAGGATAGCATCCAAAAAGAGCAAAATACGCATGCCTCTATACTAAGGGAAATTGGTTAAGTAAATTTATTAAATGCCTGTGATAGGATATATAAAACCTGATTCCCCTCAACTCAAGGTAATAGCTAAACTCCTCGCTAAAGTAATTGGACTTCACAGCAGTTGGACTGAAGTTTCTACCAGGCGTATATATAGGACGCACTTTCAAGGGGTTTAAAACCAGATCATGTTTATCAAGTAGAAACATTAGCACTATGAAACACAAATATATATATGCCATGTGGGTCACCAAGAACTGTGGATGTATCAGATGAATAAAGTTGTTGCTTGATATACATGAACTGGTTCCAAAAGCCGTTGGTAATAACTAAGAGATGAAGGTGAGGTCTAAATTGCAGTAGATTCTGGAATAAAAAGTATGCTAGGGATATTACATCCACCCAATCCTATGAATTATATTCCCAAAAATGAAAAAGCAGGTACTAGAAGACTTACTGTTATCAACTCCAGAGCAGCTATCTCTATCCGTGTCTCTATTCTTTTTTGGAGCTATATAATTTTCGCTATCTTCATCGTGATTTTTTACCTGCTGCTTGTTTTCGTTACGAATTCGTCTAACAAATTCATCGGTATGCTTTTTGTCCTCCTCTGAGGACGCAAGAGAAGATTGTTCCATGTACACAACCTCTTTACGACTTCGGAGACCCCCGTAGCGTTTAACCGCGACGCTAGGCGAATCAACCGAAGAGTGTCCGGGAATGGAGGGCGACCAACTTGAAGGTGATTGCGAAAGATTTAATGGAATTGGTGACGGCTCCAAATCGGGTTCTTCGCCAGCATATAACAAGTTTCCGGCGAGTCGAAGCTCACGCAACCTAGTTAGTTGACATAGGGGAAAGACTTCTGTAAGAAGGTTGTCCGATAGGTCAAGATACTCGATATTGGGCATAAGAGCCTGAGCAAAGCAAAAAATTAAAAAGAAGTGTGATCAAAAGTGTAAAATTATACTAATGCATAGATTTTAATTGCATAAAAGATGTCAAAAATATTCAAATAAAGTAGTTTGATCAGAGATATGGACACATTAACAGATCAAAGTAGGTAAAACGAGACACGTGAATGGTATCGCATTCCAAAACGCCCTGACTAATAAATTGAACAATTTCCAATAAATAGAAACATAAAAGGAACTAAAATTAGGTTCGTTATTTAAAAAAGCGGTTGTTCAGTATATCATCTTCGTTTGGGTTGATTTACTAGGCCATAATTCCTCCCATTGAGAACGAACATAAAAAATTTTGAGTTGTGTTTACCCTATTTCGTCAAGAAAACTC